AAAAAATTTGATAGGCACGCACATGGATAATACGCTTATGGGCGGGGGGGGGGGGCTGGATTTGAGTTCATTAATATTTACTAGGAAGAGGTACATCCCCTTAAGATTTCACCCTCCTAGCTTCTCGGATTCCCGAGTTAGCGACTTACTCGAAAAAAATTTGGCGGGCCCGTACGTGGGTACCACACTCACCCGAAGGGTGGATTTGAGCTAAATGAAACTTACATGGACGGGGAACATTCCCTTAAAATTTCAGCTTGCTAGCTTTTCTGGTTTGCGAGTTAACGACTTACCCATAAAAAAATTTCACGGGCCCGTACGTGGGTACCACGCGGGTAAGGCCGCCCGTTTTGGGGATATGGGCTCGTACATGCATGTAGATTAAGTTTCCAAAATTTCAGCCCTGTAGATTTCGTAGATCTCGAGATGAAAAATCCGTACAGATGAAACCCCTCGTCAATATGCGTTTTCTGCACTGCATAGCTGGCAAAAAAACGCATAAAAAGTTCGTTTTGCACAACAGCGTTTCTGAGCAGGCATTATTTTTAGAGAGGGAAACGATTGCCAGGAACACCAGTACACTGTCCATTGGGCAACGTAAGGATGATAAAAGTCGCTAATTGGAGAACGGCGATGTGAACTACAGCTGATCAAAGTGCTAAAAAAGTCTATGAGGGGGTTTGGCAGCATTATTTTCTACAAATCGGTTGTGTTAAAATTTGACTGGAATCTAATTACAGATTGTGCGCTGCTTACCACTCCAGATTACCATCCTATATCGATGCAAGTCGGGAAATGGGAAATGATAACGCCTCCATCACGTTTCTGCGTACCGGAGCCAGTGCTTATCAATACATCCACTCGGCACTCCAAGCCGCTAAACATAGATTGGCTAAAAACTGCAGCGTTAAGAGAAATGACAGAGGAGAGCAGTGAGCACATGTTTATCACGAGCTCTACGTCAGTTCTTTTTTTCCAATTTGATTAAAAGTATAGAAGCATAAATTTAAGAAATTGATTGCAGTGTCATTTGACGGTTGTTTAGTGATTGAAACTCAAGTGATTTTTTGGTCATTAGAACTTGTTAATTGGGAATAATGCGTGGGCAACGCTAT